AAAAAGAAAAGAAAAGAAAAAAAAAGAAAAAGAAAAAGAAAAAAAATCCAAGTAAGACAAATGGAGATAGGCATGGTGGCACACACCTTTAATCCCAACATTCAGGAGGAGGAAGCAGGCAGATCTCTGAGTCTAAGACCAACCTGGTTTACAGATTTGAGTTCTAGGACAGCCAGGGCTACAGAGAGAGACCCTGCCTCAAGATAGATACATAGATACATACATACATACATACATACATACATACATACATACATACATACATACAATAAGACAGTCACTGGGCCTTTAATCCCAGCACTCGGGAGGCAGAGCCAAGCGGATCTCTGTGAGTTCCAGGCCAGCCTGGTCTACAGAGCAAGATCCAGGACAGGCACCAAAACTACACAGAGAAACTCTGTCTCAAAAAAACAAAACAAAACAAACAAACAAAAAGACAATCAAGAGCCAAAGCTAAGACTCTCACTTCTCAGAGCCTTTCTGGAACCTGCTGGGCCCTCGGCATCTTTGTGCCCTGGCTTAGTAAAGCATGGGCATACTCTTTCGAGGGCCAAGCATGGCTCTTTGCTCCAGGTTGCAAAATAGCTTGCTAGTCCCTAGTCCTACAACGTTCTCCTGGGCAGCAAGAAAACACACAGTGAGACCTGGGGAAAACATCACAGGAAAAGCCAGGCATCAAGCAGAAAAAGCACCAGGGGGGGAAAAAAGCTCCAAGTTCTTTACTGTCTGCTAACTCCCTTCCGATACTCCCTTTATAGAAAGCCAGCGGCGCAGAGAAGTGCTTCCAACTTAGAGGGCAGAATTTCTGCACCCTCAGAAAAAAACTTCCTGGAAAACAATATGCCTTTTATCTTCAAGAACACAGCAAAAATCACATCGAAGAATTTGCAGAAACCAAATCAGGGAAAATCCTGCTGGAGGAAGTGTCAGAAAAAGCAACAAGGACAACCGTCAGATCCAAACCTCCCCTCCAAAGAGACTAGTTCCAGCTAGTGCCTTCAAGGATGCTCTGAGCCTGCTTCCCTTACAGCCGCACACCCAGACATTTCTCCCTTGCTCCCTCGGAACCTCAGCCGCCATAGGGGACACCTGGGAAAGGAGAGGGCCACAGAGGCCCAGCTGGGCCAAGACTGAGGCATCCTCACCATGGCATGACCTTCAGTTGCCTCCTCCTCAGAGCTGCAGAGCTGCAACCACGGCCCCTTGCCTGCCTGTTTCGCATCCTGCCCCCTCCCCAGGGGTGGGCACAAGCCCACTAGGAAGGAAATTCAGATGCAGGTTCTACATCACCAGCACCGTGGGCCTCTCCCTGGCCAGGCTTCAAGTGGGGAGGACAAAGAATGGGAGAAGAATGCCTGCCTCCCAGATTGACTTCATCTCTTCAGAAGGGTCCTTCCTTCCCCTGCCTGGCCTTTTCAAAACTCTACAACCCTACAGACTGTAGGATTCACGTGGGAATTTTTTTTTTTTAATCTGAAAAGTGAGACAAGCTCATTCGTTGGGACAGTGAGGATTAAAATACGCAAAGTGCACCCACCATGTTCTCCTCGGAAAACACTGGCACCCAAGTGCTCTTGTTCTTCACCTCATAAAGCTCCGAGCGCTGGCTGGATTAACACTGGACATGGAGAGAGGCGACAGAGCCTCCAAATCATGGTCTCCGCCCGCCAGAGTCAAGATGGGGTGACATCTGACTCTCTACTAGTGGGTCATTCAAACGACACACTATGACATCTGAAACACCTCCAGGGGCACATGGTGTGAGGACGACAAAGTGCCCTCACTGGCGAGGGAGAGTCCTCTGCACACTCAAGAGTTTCACAAGTTTCCCCGTACTTGGCCAGTTTCCGTTTCTGAACTTCTGGGGCTTAGGTCCCAGTGCTGCCCCCTTGCCCTCTCCTTTGGGGGACCTTAGTTTCACAAGAGTCTATACACACACATCCAATCTCGCCTGGGATGGTCACTTGGAACCATGATCCTCAGGAATGGGTCACACTGTCCGAAAGGTTTAGCAATCCAAATAACCCTACCTGTCAGCCAAGCCCCTGGGTTTCAGGAGCAATCATCTAGCAAGCCCTGCCTGTCCTCCAAATCAATAGCTCCTCACCCCCAAAACCAAACAAACAAACAAAAAAACTGTGAGGATCTTCTCAATTCCTCCAAGCAATTTCCTCATCTCTTTGTACCCAGACCCAAATCCACTGGAGACTGGATGTCCCCATCCTGGTCCCCACCACCTCCATATTCATTCTTATACTATCGTTCTGGATGGTCTTGTGCCCTGCTATAACTTCCTGCCCTTCTCTATCACCGAAACTCCTTCACATCGCTTCAGAACCTGCCCAGTATTTTCCAGACTCCCCATTCAAGGGCTGCCAAGTCCTAGGCAGGCGTCCCGAGCTTTTATCAAAAGCCGCCTCTTTTGCACCTACTACTTAGGTACCGTGCCACTCCGGCCATCCCCACCCAGCCAGCCCTGTTATCTCAGTCCCCTAGGCTCTTCCTCCCTCCCCATCACCCAAGCCCGGCCTTGACTTAAGTCCTTTTTTCTGCAACCAATTATTACAATCCTTCCTCTGCTGCCTAAGGCAGCCACTGTCCATGCCCCAGGTTCCGCCTCAGCACTCCTCACCACCACCTCAACTCCATTCCAGGAGCTAGCTCCCTTATCTGATCTTCCCTGCCCCTTGGTACATACAGCTCAGCCTCAAACCCCTCCCCACCGTCAGCCAACTCACCGGCGCTGCCTGCCCTTGTCCCACTGCTCCTTGGTCCCTTACACTACTCAGTCTGCCCCTCCATCCCTCCTTGCGCCCACGGTAGGGTCACACCACATCCAGCGCTCTCCATTCCTCGGGCCCCTCCTCATGCCCCCTCTGGCTCTCCCTGTCCCCTTGACCCCTCCTCAGGCCCTGTCCGGCCCGCACCGGTTCCTGGCCTCCTCTCTGGCCTATTCGACCCCACCTCAGGTGCTGTCTGTCACCCTCTGGCCCCTCCGCCCCTGCTAGGCGGCCCAACAGCCCCATCCGGTGTTCTCCATCCCCCGGCAGGCGATCTGCCTCCGCGGCCGTCATCTCGACCCTCCCTTCCGCCTCGCTTCCGCACAGCCGACCCGACACTCACTACTCCTTGAGCAGCACCATGTCGCTTCGCGGCTCGGCGGCTGCCAGCTGCCAGCCCGGCCTTCCGCCCGCTTCCCGGCGGCCGCTCTCCCGGTGGCCCGGCCCGGCCCGGCTGCCTGTGCGCCTTCGTCGTGGTCTGCTCTGTCTCTGCTGCTCTCGCTGCGGTCGCCGCGCGGGCTCCTGCCGCCCTGCCCTGGCCTCGCCACCTCCCGCGCCTCTGCCGACGCCGCCCGGAGCTCCGGTTCCGCAGCGCCGCGCGGGGGCGGGGCGTCTCTGCGGCAACCAGAGCGTCAGACGCAGCACTGCGCGCTGACCTCACGCGGGGCGGGGCCTTCCCGAGCCCGCCCCTCTACCCTTAAATGGGCCGTGGCTCCGGGTCTATGTCAGCGTCCTAGCTGGGTCCCAGGCGGTTTTGGAACTCAGGAATTAAAGGGACACGTCTGGTGTGAATGCGCCTCTGCAGCAGGAACTGATGCGCCTGAATGCCTGGACTTCGCGAGAAGGTGTGTTGAGAGTCCAGCGTGTCAAAAATAAAATGAGGGGCTTGGAGATTTAGTTCAGCCATGAAGCACTTGCTTAATTTGGATGCACACACACACACACACACACACACACACACACACACACACACACACACAAATATAAAAAACAAACCCCAAACAAAAGTGTGTATGTGTTCTCTAAATACTTGACTCCACAACTCCACCAGAAAGATACTGTTTACTGCCCTCATTTACAGGAAAGAAGGCAGCAGAAGAAAGATTTGCTCATTATGGCTTCTTCATGATTTTTTTTTTTTCTTTTTCTTTTTTGAGACAAGGTCTCACTATATAGCTCTGGCTGTTCTGGAACTCACAATGTATACCAGGCTGGCCTCGAACTCACAGAGATCAGCCTGCCTCTGGTTCCTGAGTGGTAGGTGTAGCTGAGACTCTAGCCTGGTGTCTTCTCATCCATCCAATAAACATTGGCTGAGGGTCTGCTGTGCATCTATCTATCCTGGATAGAGAGAACAAGACTGGTACTATCTTGCCTTTAGGGGCTGGAGGTCAAATGGAGGGGAGGCAGGTGATGGCTGAAGGTAACAGGCATTTAGAATGAAAGGGGCTGCCAGGCCTGTAACCCTAGCTATCTGGGAGCTCAGGCGGGAGGACGAAAGTTCAAAGCCTGCTCAAACAACTTAGTAAACCACTGCCTGGTGTAAGGAGAGGGCTGAGATACAGCTCAGTGGTCGGGCACTTGCCTAGTATGCAGGAGGCCCTCGGTTCAGTCCTAGAACCACAAGAAAATGACACAGGAGGGTATCTGATGTGTGTGAGGAATCCCAGGCAAGCCATTCCAGAAGACAAGACTTATGGGTAGATAGATCTACGAGATGCTGGGGAGTGAAGAACAGAAAATAGTGAGCAGATCTGTAAAGGCTGCAGTCAAGGAGAAGAGGCTGCATTTGGGGACTTGTCCTAGTCTGGTTTTCTGTTGCTGTGATAAAGACCACAACCAAAAGTAACTTGGGGAGGAAAAGGGTGATTACATCTTTGAGGTTAGAGTCCATGATGAAGGGAAAACAGGGCAGGGACCTGAAGCAGAGGCTATGGAGGCATGCTTGCTTACTGGCTTACTCAGCTGCTTTCTCGTACAGCCCAGGACAGCCTGCCCAGGGGTGCTACCCCCCACAGTGAGCTGTGCTCTCCACCAATCATTACTCTAGAAAATGCCCTGACAGGCTTGCCTACAGATAAATCTGATGGGAACATTTTCTCAACTGAGGTTCCCTCTTCACGGGTGACCCTAGCTTGTGTCAAGCTGATACACACACACACCAAAAAAAAAGAAAGAAAGAAAGAAAGAAAGAGAGAGAGAGAGAGAGAGAGAGA